TGTGTGCGTTGCCGATTCTTAAGAAACCTTAATACACCCTTGCAAAACCCCATGCTGTTGTCTCTCGAGAAAACCTCGGCAGGTAGTTCGTTCTTTAATGTAAGTGTACATGGGGAGGAAGCTCATTAGGCTCCAAATAATATTATAGTGCTGAATATCCCGTTTATATAATTTGTACAATAAAAAATTTTGCCTGTTACAACTGATCGTACTGCACTTCTATGTTTTTTATGTAGATTGTTACTTAAAATGTTATATACGAGTGGGCTTGCATTATCAGATTCAGACCGAACGGCCCGTGCCGACGACGCTGTTCTTTGTACGTTTTGACGCATTATAAATGTGGGCGGGGCGTAACTAATGCTTCAATCGAACAAGTCATCGGCACGGGACGTCCGGTTTGAACCTTATAATCACTTAAAGATATTTAATGAGATTATCACTTGAAAACATCACATTATCTATATGAAATAGGCTATTAAAAATTTGTCTGCATTTGGTAATGTATGCAAAACTGTGATACATATATTTTGTGAGGTGTTGCAACGAGTTAAGATTTATTTTCGTTATGACATTGTAATTATGTTGTGGCTTCATTCTATTATTATGAATTTTGATCAAAATGCTTGCATTAAAGGTACAGTCAGGTTCATAAATATCGTGACAGAGTGATCAATAATGTATACACAGATAAACTTTATATATCTTGGTATGTTAACAAATTGATTTAAATATTTAATGTATTGTCTTAAACAGCGGTCACACATGTTAGAATTAGTCGGACGACTCGTGCCGACGGATATGTGAGTAGGTTAACCTTAAAAGTCGAAGTCTCTTGACTTGTAAGATAATATTGATCATTTTGTTGATATAGACAATAGGAAGCTGACTGTATCTAGACAAAGCGGCCTGAATGTAGCACGTATATTTTGCTTTTTATAAATAACTGTATTTCTGTTTTACAAATCGAATCAAATTTAATTTATTCATATAAGACCTTTTAGCCGCTAATAAACCTAATTTTTTTTCTATTATATTTTTTTCCCTACCGTCCAGTTCAGTGTACTGATTCAATTAAGAAGGACTGGCAAGACACTCAACTGAATTTCTTTTTTTTTTTAATACAGTTTATTTACCTTGTGTAACAAAATATACACGCTCGATTCACGGTCTGTGGATCGCAGTCTATATAGTATTTATTGTTGAGTTTTAATATAAACAATATACATCACAAACATTGTGTTACATATTGCTATTTTAGTTCGTCAAATTATAGTACGCACAGTAGCACACTGTACAAAGATACAAATAACCAGTGTTTAATATTAAAATTAAACAATAAATATTTACTGTCGAATAACTATATTTTCAATAATAATGGGTGTGAAGCGAAAAACAACATATAGTTGAAATATGAAAATAATTTTTGAACCTGCTATACTTAATTATGTAATAATTTGGTTTAGTTATTTTTGTCTTTAAAAGAAATTTACATTGTACCTATTTTTTTTATAATACTATGGTAACACTGAACTATTTTTTAATCTAGCATTATAATAGCCTCAGGCAGAGTTTGAACAAAAATGTTCTGCAATATCCACTGATTTTAAACTTTGTAGTATTATGTATATTATTGAAATCAAAATATCTTATATTCATGTAGGCCCATTACAGACTCTTGTTATATCAAATGATATTTACCGTCAGATTGTAGTTCTTTCGAGCTAAGAATTGACAGGAAACTCAGCTCTTATTCTTTTTAAATGAGCATGTACATGATTGCAGAAAAACAGGTTTATTTTTAAATTCAATTAGGGAGTAAATTTAAATTTATTATTATAGGTTCTCATATATTTTTGGTCTTTCGTTCTTTTTTTTTTTACAAGCCATATAGGTTCAGAAATTACTTTCATTTTCGTTGCTAGAAAGTTATCTATGCCGTTTTATTCATTTTATTTCTTCAATATGAGATTGATTTCGACGAATGTTGAGGGATGTCACATGTTTTTTTTATTACGTTTTGTGACGCGCTGTTCGCTTTCATCCCCTTGTTTATAACTCCCCAATAAACATTTATTTGTACATTTTCGATTTTTATTTCCACCTTTATGTTCCTGCACATTTTTCTCCCACATATGCACTTATTATTTTTACGAGTTTATTACTATTTTGGTAACAGTTCTTATAGTTTTTTTATTACAGACCATTGAGGTATTTTTATGTATTCACTGACAAGATTTTGCTGTCTCATTACATCTTATGCTGGCAGTACATTGTAGTACATTTGTCACTTGTCTAAATAAGAATCAGGGAACATTTAATGTAATTATCATTTTTAAATCAAATCACTTATGAACGTCAAATTTTTTGTATTAATATTTACCTACCGATACCTTTTTTTATTCAAGCAATAAAATTGTGAGTAAATAGCAAGTATGGGAGCGACTTCGTGCACTAACTGTGGCGTTGTTGCCGCTTTTGATTGGAATCGACATGTGTTTTTAGATGTGCTAGTACTTAATACCTCAATGCTGCAATAGTTTTAATAGATGTTATAATAATAAATTAATTATTAGATATATAGAATTGAAATGATTTATCATGTAATTGTAAAATTTGAGGGCTTGCCAAATATCTATATAGAGTTCTATAGAAACTAATGAGTGAGTACAGGTAAACGTTGGTTTGGATAGAACTTAAGGAGAAATTCAATGGCGGACTGAGGAAGGCTGTTTATAAATACCTGAATAGGATAAAAAATTATCTTAAATCCGGAATTTAGTGTTTTAGAGATATTTTTTAGAGTTATACATTTTGAAATCTTAGGCATAAAAGAGTTCGGCTAGTAATGTGAAGTATAACACCAAGAAAGTATCTAAACCACAAAACTGCAGTTATTACTAATATATGTAGTCAATTGTTATACTATCTGTTTACGGTGGCTTCGCTTACAAAAGCACAATCTCTCTTTTTATCACAAACATCCCTAACAAAAGCTAAGAACAGTGTTAATAAAGGAAATCTATGTTAAAAATATCTTAAATTTTTATTTAGATTATTAAAATATTGGTTAATGACGTAAAAGGTGTAGCAGGTGGCACACGGATAAGGTTTACCTTATGAATGGATAATGGAATTATTTAATTACGCTGACGGGGTATCAGTATGACAGGATGACAGGATGAGAATGAAGGCACGTCAGTGAGTCTGCCTTAGCAATTGCTATTTACAGATAGATTTCAATGCATAATTAGTTGTGATATATTATACATAATTATTTTAGAAGGTAAAAAAAATCTGTACTGTCTGTATAAAGAGTATATCTGTAATATGAGAATTGTGTTAAAAATATATTAGGTTTAGGTTTAGTTATTCTACTACTACTTGGCAATATACTGTAATCTGTCTAAATTTCAAATAATGAATACAAATTCTTCCATCAGATTGGCAGACCGCTTGATTGACACAATATTGATTGTTACTTTATATTACAAAAAGCACCATCACTACAGAAACAGAACAGGGTTCCGGAATGTTTATAGATAGGTGTTGTCCAGATGAGGCAGATAATAAGAATACTAAAATAAATGCAGTTTTGTGGATTAAGCACTTACCTAACAGTACAAAACTGTTAATAAATTTTGTCAATTGCTCAAAAATATATATATCCGACAAAACATATATTGTAAAACTATACAATATTATTAACTATTAATAATAAATAAAATATGGACGTTGGACATTTATGAGCGATTGTCAAAACAAATAATGTACAATATGGTACCTACCCTTAGATGTAAAAATTAATTACTTAAAGTCTGGCATTAAAGTCTATTAAAAGTTTAAAATTATAAATTAGACGTTTAAAATAGCATTAAATGCATTCTCATAGTTCTCTATTTGAATACTATAAGTACAGACCACATTCTAGAATATAATTACTTGTCTTTTGTTTTCTTTTAATCTGCTAAAAATGTTTAAGTTAAGGTACTCATTTCATGCCTACTCAGAGTCATTAAAAATATTCTATAATTTTTTTATTACAATAAGTCTTTCCAATTTTCTCTAATTATGAATTTTGAAGTAGTATTTAATAAGGTAACAATAAAATTAAATGAAATATAATTAAAAGAGAAAATATAAATTAGCTTTTAGAATAAATTAGATTATATTGATATTTATTTTCGTTATAACAGAGAGGGTAGGGGTGTCATAGTGATGTACATAAGATATAGTTAGTACATAGATATAGGTATGACAAAGAAATTAAATGTTAATATTCCAAATTTCTGAACAGATTCTATTCCTGAATAAATTGATGATAAATTAACTTTGAATTTTATTGCTTATTTGTTAAATATGTCCTTTAATTCAAGTTTTAGAACTCACATGGTTGGAAATAAGTATAGTTGCATAGAGAAGCAAGGATGCTTGCTACAGGTGGTCACTGATGGTACTACAGTATTTAAGACTTCAATCACTTAGCCTTATTACAAAAAGTTTGGACAATGTACCATTTTTTTCCTATGGTCTAAAGTTGAGCACATTGCAAAAATACATCCAGTTTTTGTTCTGACAATAAAAACATATCTTGCTGACATGTAGAGCAGTTTACTGTCACTTACTATATATAGACAAAATATAGAATCTGTATCTAATATTTTAATAATGCAATCCTAGAATTTGTCTAGTGTACTAGCGCTGATAATATTTAGTTAGTTAAGGCCCCATAACAGCAAGATATACAATGGAATTACAAAAATAAAAATTACTATTAATGACAATCAATTGATGTCATTGTTTATGTTATGGTTACTTCCCAATGTTACGTATGGACATGGGTTTATACTTTTAGTAATTGCTCCGATTTATAAAAGTAAGTATACAAATATATAAAAAATATACTCGAGGGCCCGGTTTTTATCATTTCATCAATGACTTACAATTAATTAAAATTTCACAGAGAAATGTTTAACAAATATAAAATGAAAAGTATCAAATTAAATTTTATTCACTTCACAAACAAAATACTTAACAATAAACTAAACATTAATTATATTACAATTTCACTACTCGTCTTCTATCGTTTCCACTTCCTCTTCGTCCTTTTTCTTGCCGGCGCCTGACTTTCTCGCGGAAACTGCTAATTTATATTGTTCAAACGATTCACCTAATGGCTCAATAAACCTGTCGAATTCTATATCTTTCATAGCATCTAATACGTCTTGGCCGGTTAAAGCTTTTCTCTTCTTGTTTTTAACTATATTTGTGGCGGCAGAAGTGACATATAATACGAAAACTGAGGCAGCTTTCGCTAAACCTGTGCGAGCTTCTTTTGATATTGTGGCGCCTTCGGGTAGCGCTTCTTTTACTATTCGAGTTACGACAGTCAAGGGGAGATTCAGGTCTTCTAATTTTTCAGCCATATTACTACTCTTTTCAGGATTTTATTGTGAAATTTGTACTATTTGGTGGACTTTTAACAGGTTATATCCACAACAATCACAGTGACCGCCAAAAACACCGAAATAATATTATGACAGTATTACGTCAATGTCAAACCAGTTGTTACATTAGCAGGGTTGCCAACCTTAAGACTTTTCGCCTTGCTCGCACAAACGAAATAATGATCTCGTACATTGAATTTGTCTTTTCTACATCATATTTTAAGTAACGTCACATCGTTCCTGTGTACATTAATTGCAATAAGTGTTAAAAAATGGAAATGTATTAAAAAATAATACATGATGTTGTGGACTCAATGGTATCTTACTGGCCACTTAAAATCAATTTTTTTATAATAAAAAAACATGTATGTAATTAGGTGATATTATGTCATAGGAAAATAGACCATATAATTTTTACGAGTAGTAGCAATAGCTTTCTGTATTTAAAGAACCGACAAATAAACATATAATAATATAATATCCTCCATCAGACATGGTAATTATGAATCAGTCATTAGCATTACTCATGAGTATAATAAGTAAAAATTTCTTCCATGTGCAAAGATTGTCGTTGTTTTGCCACATAATCGAATCCGTGACAACGTAATTAACTATTGACAATTAACTTTTTGTTTCCATTAGTTTATAAAATGTCGACGAACGAATCAAACGAAAATCCATTCCAATGGTTTTGGTAAATGAGTTTGATATTTGTTACAAATAGAAGAAGAAGTAAATTAATCCAGCAATATTACTAACTTGACTGGTTTCATCCCCATATTCACAATCTTTCGTTAGCATTTATTTATAATTGGAATGGCTTATAAGACAACGGCCTACCTGATAACGGTTTTTATATGCTGTTGGCCGCAGCTGGCCTTTACAGCTTCACACTTTACAGCTTAACGATAGGAGGCGAGTGCAGATGGCACTCCAAACCTGAGGAAGAACTTATGGAGCGACTGAAGGCCAATTTCCACCTGACGGATACGACTTTAGTCTGAAGCAACCGCTAGGGGTTCGAACCTTGGTTCGAGCCGTAATCCTCTATCCCTGTTTGATCGGAAACTAGGTAATAATGGTAACCGTCTCCTATATTTATACATAACAGCACCACGGACATTGCATTTACTAAAGAGTATCCTGTAATTTCACTGCCTCATCTCAACTGCAACACATTTTATAAAGGAAGCTACTTGCCGGCTGAAACAGGTGAATTTGAGGTAGGCAATTTCGTATTGTATAGTCTACCTCAATAACGTAGATGGAAACATCATTCCATCATCATCCATTATCAAAATAGATAAGTGGTATAATGGAACACGTGCCGAAATCCATCATTACAATATATAACGTCAGTAAGTAAAATGTAACCTTGAAAGTAAATGAAAGAAAATGTTCATTGATAACATTGTAGCTTCTCTAGAAGAGTTATTTATGAGTTTTAATTTATATAAATTTATCAACTTACAATCGAATTGGAATTGCCTTAATTTTTTATGCTGAAAACATATCCTTACGAATTGAATTATGATACAATCAATCGTTATTGCGCAAACTCGAACGCCATTTTGAACTTAGGTTAGTGAATAGTGCGGCACCGGCAGTAATATGAGACAGACGTGTACCTCATACAGTACATAAACGCACGTAATTGTGATGTTTTTTTTTATAAAATAACAAAAACATAACACATATACAGCCGTAACAAGGTTCGCGTATTGTCGTGATTTCGTGATTATTTATGTTAAGTGCAGTGTTGCTGTTTTAAAAATGAGGTGAGATGCAGCTAATGTAAATAATCGATTATTTATGACTTCATAGTTGCTATATTTTTTTTATTGCACTCAATGCATATTTTAAATTATGGTTCGAGAAATACAATGCTTATTGTTGTGAATCTTCAATTATAAATTTTACAATTGTTTTTATAGTTTGCATTAATTTATATTGTTTTTAATTGCGGTAATTAAGAATATTATGCTAATATAATCTATATACCCACATTTTAATAATTAATTTAATCCAAGAGTAAAAAAATCGGAGAAACTGTTTGTACGCCTGATTAGTAGTTTAAAATGTTTATTTTTTAAATCTTAATGCAAAGGTAAAGTTTTCAAAGTACACATCTAGACTAAACAATGGTTAATTTTTGAAACTATATCCATTTGCTGAAAAGAAAATAATGCCATAGCTGAAAAAATAATCTGTGCTAAACATTAATTTTCCGGGTAAATATGTCATTGTCTTATTGAGCTCTCAGGAAAATTAATTTGATTAAGTAAATACCCAATCCATGGCAACAAAACGGTGACAACAGGGTTGGTATGGGGTGAAATATAAATTGTAGATCCGAAGCGTACAGCGGCAGCCCATAAATAATAATGTTTTTTTTTCTCCAATAATATACTTTGTACTTAATAATGTTTTGCCAAGTCCAATATTATATTAAAACAGGAAATAAAATTTATGTCTGCCTATCCTTTATTACATCATCACAGGAAAATATATTTATTAACTTTAATAGGAATATAAATAGAATTATCTTTATTCAAATAAACTTACATTTAATAATTTTGAATACTCTTAACATTACAAAGAGGAAAGTTTGTTTTTTTTTTGTTTGTAATCTTATAAAGTTGACTTAAAAAGTATTAGGTATACATTTTTTCAGCTATGGAAGGCTCCAATAAAGAATAACATAGCTCTTTTTGCGCAATGACAGTCATAGAAGTATTATTGTTTTTTAAATACATTTATAAAAAAAATCGGTAATATATTAAAATAATTACAATTGTGCGTGTAAATAAGTAACGCGTTATTTATCGTTAGCGAAATTTCGGATCTAAATCGTAACTGTTGATGTCTTTATCTCGGGACCCTGGTCCCAGCTGACAGCTGATATTGAGGGGGATTGTTAGTAATGTGGATTAATGATCTTATTGCTTGAAATATACCATGTCAGCTTGATCTCCAAGCGGTTCTCCCTGGAAACCACCGTGATAAATTATTGGTGAATTTGTCACGATGGGCTAACTGACCTGACCTCATGCTCATTTTATCAATCCTCAAATTGCCATCTTGGCAATGGCAATTTACCACGATGATTTCCAGAAGATTAATCGCTTGGATGTCATTCTTAACAATGGTATTATTAGTACACATTACTAACAATCCCTTTCCCCTCCAACATGCTCAGTGTCACTGCCATGTCTCAACATTCGAACTGGAACATAAGTTGCATGCGGGACACGCAAAGTAGTAGAAATAAGAAAGACAGGGATACAAGATTTCATACAGAATATAACAAAGCAACATCCTAACATTTACAAGAATAGGTGAGACAGAGAGAGAAGACCTCAAACAGAAAATCACAAAACATCATCCATGTAAATGTTATACAATATTAGGAGGGTAGTAATTCGCTCCCCTTCCCTAAAAATGAAATAGGTGTTATAATAGTCATGAATGAAAGAAGAATTATGAAAGAAATTTTAATAGTTCCGTCTTAAGCGGACGTGACGTCAACTAAATAGGGAGGTGAAAAAGCGCCAAGTAATCAGGGATCTCGTATGAATAGACTGATGAATGTCTTTACATTGATATGTTCCATTCAAAAACTTTTTGCTTCCTTTGAAGCAAAACAAATATACAACATTTTTAAAGGTCTTAAGAAATAAATACTAAGTTTCACTGTCTTCTGCAATTACGCGTACAAATAATTTTTGGGGGATATTATTAATGTAACGGAACGATCTAGTGATTAAAATAAATATATGTGTCTTTGTTTGTATTATATGTGCTACGACTACTACGGTCGCTAACCATCAGGTTGGCCGTATGCATTAATATTATAAAAAAACTATCTTACTAACAATATCCAAACTAATGGTCGCCCTGATGGTACTGTTGCTGTCGACAGCTCGACACGTGTAGTTGCCGCTGTGGCGACGAGCTGCTTCCGAAACCAGGAGTGTGCCGTTTACTGATGTCACGCCTTCTGGTAGCGCGTCCTCTTCATTCTATGAACGTAATAACAATAATCTCAAGACAATTCACATAGTGACATCTAGACCCAAGTTAAACTAGGTAAAACTTGTGTTATGGGTACAAGACAATTGATACAAATTTATTTAATCGAATTAGCTGTTATTTTGCGGACTGATCCAAATACATTGATATATTTTTTTTTCGTAAATACATACATATTATACATAGAAAACTCCCAGACCGACACAAACAATCATACTCAATAAAAAGAATACAAATGTTTGTGCCTTGCGAGGAATCGAACCCGCGACTATTGAAAGTAAGACGGTATGCTACACCGCTAGACCACCGAGGCCGTCAAATATGATTGAAAACAATATATATATATATATATATATATGAAAGAAAGAAAAGATATATATATATTACTAGCTGTGCCCGTGGTTTCGCCCCCGTTAAATATTAATATATTATTTAAATTTCAATAAAATAGATAGTCTGATGCATAAGCTATATTACTGTAAAGATTAATCAAAATCCGTTCTATTTGCGTGAAAGAGTAACAAACATCCATACTCACAAACTTTCGAGTTTATAATATTATTAAGATTAAAATTGTTGGATTATATTAATAACTAATCTTGGTGATCCAGAAATATATGCTAAAAAAATTCTTTTCTAAAAAATATTGTTTCAAAGTACATTTAAACTGTCTAATGTCATTGAGCTTTATTTGGTGGGCTATTGTCTCTGTCTACCCCAATGGGAGGCAGGCGTGACGATACGTATTTATAACACTGTCTGTACGTCCTCGTCCTATATATTTATTAGACATGTAGTCTATTGTTTTTGGCGTAATCGAGGCCACAGACAGCGACTGAATTGTTTATGCCATTGACAAATGAGTTTCTTCCAAATCCGATATAAAAGGAATGTTTATATAAGTGTAAATATTAATTGAATATTGACCACTTGAGTTGAGGCGAGACTTTGCATCACTTTGTGTGTTTTACCGAATATAATAATAATCTTAGGACAATTCACACAGCGCCATCTAGACACAAGTTAAGCCAGCTGATGCTTGTGTTATGGGTACTAGGTAACTATGATACAAATACATAGATATATATTTTTTTCGTAAATGCATACATATTATACATAGAAAACACCCAGACCGATACAAACAATCATATCATACTCATAAATATATATGTTTGTGTCGTGCGAGGAATCGAACCCGCGACTATCGGAAGTAAGGCGGAGTGCTAAACTACTAGACCACCAAGGCCGTTAACAGACGGTCATATAGAACGGGTTGTGTTCTGAAGGATTGTTCGACGTGATGCCCACGGCTACCTTTTACTATTGCACCGCTCGCCTTCGAAAGGGAATTCATCTGGAAGTTAAGTAGTTTTGGACATTGCGGTTTCAGAAAAGCTTCCTTCCGCGTACACTTAGATTGTAGAATGAACTACCTACCTGCCGAGATTTTGTTAAGAGATTACAGCAAGAAGTAGTTCAAAAAGTTTATATTAAGATTTCTTAAGGGTCGGTAACACGACCGTAACACCCCTGGTGTTTCAGGCGTCCATAGTCAGCATAGTCTATGGTTACCGTTTACCATCAGATAGACCGCACGCTTGATTGCCACCATCCTAGTGTAAAAACAACTTGATTACTTTTAATCCACGTCACCTGCAAAGTTATATTATTAGATACAAAAGTGTTTAATCCATAAGTTTTTGTCTATGGTCTTGTTTATGATGTTTTGCCGCGAATTGTACATAACCTATAAAAAGGTTTCGTAGAAACTTTGTTGATTTTGACACAGTATAAAACGAAGTCGTTTCAGCTGTCTGTTCGCTTAGATTTTAAACTACACAACGGATTTTCTAGCAATAGGTAGAGTGATTGAAGAGGAAGGTCTATATGTTTAATACATGTACACCCGTGCGAAGCCGGCGCGGGTACTAATTACTGATATAATCCTTATGACTAAATTACATGATAATTATATTTGTGAATTATTCCACAACGAATAATTCTTCTAAACCTAACAAAATTAAATAAAAAATAAAAATAATCTATAAAATCTGTTCACAGTTGGTAAAGTTCTATTTTTTTTTCAAAAGAACTTCGTAAAGCACATATGTCTCTGTGAAATGTAAAATTGTAATTCTGAACAACATTTATTTAAACGAGCAACACGGAAGTTTACTCAATATTCTTGAGATGAATCTGCATACCGAATGAATGGTAGAATAAAAAAATTCAAAAGTGTGACTATTCAAAAGTGCTTATATTAAGTTTATTTGAATGAAGATTATTTCTATTTCTGAATGGTGATATATTGCAGTTAAATTACTTTATATAGTATACTGTATACTATATACAAGTATACTTACATAAGCTTATTCATCCATGATGGCAACGCTTGATAACCCACGGGTGTTTAGTATATTTTGTGATTTCCGTGATACTATTCATATATACAGATACGTTTATCTAGAATTTTTGATGGCCTCGGTGGTCTAGCGGTATAGCACACCGCTTTAATGTTAGTCACGAGTTCGATTCCTCGCACGGTACCACATATTTATATTTATGAGTATGATTGTTTCGTCTCGATGTTATCTATTATGTATGCATTTACAAAAGAAAATATCAAAGCATTTATAACAGTCGACTATTACCCATAACACAAGTTCTGCGTGCCATGGGACTAAATGATGGTGTGAATTGTCGATATATATTTAGTGAAAAACTAATAATTGAAACAAAAATAAAA